AAAAAAAAAAAAAAAAAAAACTCACTACCGTGAAGTAGATTCTGACTCATAGTGACCCCCTTTGTGTTTGTGAGATGGTACGTCTTTATGGAAGTAGATTGCTCAGTCTTCCTTCCGCAGAGTGGCTGGTGGTCTTGAACTGCCAATCTTCTGGTTAGCATTCAAATGCCTTAGGCACAAAGCCACCAGAGTTAGAAGGGCCATATTAAGTAATTCATTGTACTGTGAGCATCTACCATAGGGCCTCTCTACACTGGGCATGAGGAAGAAAGCAGGCACGCTGGCTTGAGACAGAGTCCTACTCAGCTCTCACACCTTTCCTGAAATAAGGAGAGAAGATACAAGTGTGGGGGGGTTCTAGAGAAGTACCTCCCATTGGTCTTCCCAGCACCACATGCTGTCCACCACCCCAATGTGTGCAGACAGCCCCAAGCAGAGAAGGATTCAGATTTGTGCTTCTCTTTATTGTTAGCACTTTCTCTGAGCAGAGGATACCCTTTTGTGCTGTATTTAGTTCTTAGAGGCCCTGGCTTTGCTCTTTTCTCCAAACTTCTCATCCAGTGCTTTCTGCAAGTTCATGTTCATAGCATTTTTCTGGTGCCACCGTCCTGCAGAGAATAGGGAAAGAGCTGTCACAGATCACCCAGAGGGCCTCTGGGGGGCCCAGGCCCCAGCAGTGACCCACACCCCTTCCAGAGCCTCCCCCAAGGCTCCATCTCCTGCCCTGGATTCCTTCCTGGACCTTGAGACCTACACACCTTGCCCAAGGAGGGCAGTGCTCACCTCCCATCACTGCCAGCTCCCCACCTACCCAGATCATCCGTCTTCCTGCCATGCCAGTGTTCGATGTCCCGCACTGACTTCTCAATCACCTCTGGGGTGTAGGAGGCCTTCATGAGGCTCTTCGTCTCCTGGGGGGCCCCTGCAGAACCCCACAAAGAAATCCCCAGATGCCCCAACTCAACAGAGGTCCGGTACTCCATGGTTTATACTTGGTTGTCAGTTTCCCCTATGGATGGAGGATCATGGATAAGTAGAGGGGTGGGGGCATGGTTTCAGAGTAAGGCAGATCTGGCTGCAAACCTCCACTGTGTCTGCTATGGGCAGTTAACCTCTCTGAACCTCAATTTCTTTATCTGTACAAAGGAATACAATTTTCCTGCAAGGTTGGGAAGATTAAATTACTGGACATTCGTTAGAGTAGCTGGTACATGGCAATTAATTAATACACATCTTTTCAGAAAGTGATCTCTATATGCAGAATTAAAACACACTCAAGTACTTAAATAACCAGACCAAGACTTGGCAGGAACACCAGGATTTAAATGACCAAATACAGAACATAAAATGTGCATATTTAATGCTTAAAGTTATTAAGGAGAAAATTACATATGAACAAGGAATAGAAAAGAATCTAGAAAGAACAAGAGATTGATAAATGAAGTAAATGGAACATTTAGAAATGAAGCCAATAATAATTACAAGTTAAGCTCAATGAATGATGAAATGCCTGGGATTTGCTTCAAAATAATCTATGGGGAGGATGGAGGGTTGGGTGGGATATAGGTGAAACAAGATGGACTGTGTAAGGCATTTGCTGCTAACCAGAAGGTTGGCGGTTCAAACCTACCAGCAGCTCTGTGGGAGGAAGATAAGGCAATCTACTTCTGTAATGATTACAGCTTGGAAATCCAATGGGGGTCGCGATGAGTAGCAATCGACCCGATGGCCGTGGGTTTGGCTTTTTGTTTTATGCCGTTAGGTGTTACCGCTGGGTGATGTGTACAACATCTGTTCATTCAACTATTTGCTCTCCTTGTCTGTGAGTTTGAAAATTACCATCATAAAAGCTTAAAAAGTGATTCAACCAATATGTAAAAATAGCAGGCCAGTTACAGCTGAGAGAAAGATGTGTTGAAAGTAATTAAGTAGAATGCAGCAAAGAAAAAATGATGTGGAAAATATGATCGAGATGTGAAGATGAAGGCTAAATGAGAGGACCTAGAGTATATCTAAGGAGTTCCCGGGTAGCACAAACAGTTAAGTGCTCTGCTACTAACTGAAAGGTTGATGGCTCCAGTTCACTCGAGGTGCCTAGGAAGAAAGACCTGACAATCTACTTCCGAAAGATCACAGCCACTGAAAACTCCTGGGGAGCTGCACCCTACCCTGACACACATGGGGTCACCATGAGTCGGAATCCACTTGACAGCAGACGGCACACGTGCCTAATAGCAGTTCCTAAGGGAAGAGACTGCCTCGGAAACCCAAGCAAGGGTCGCTATGAGTCAGGTCCCACTCGACGGCACATAACAACAACAACAAGGGAAGAGACCGGAGTGGGGGAGAGGCAATATTTGAAAAGACAATGGCTGAAATTTTCCAAAATTGATGAAAATGTGAATCTTCAAACTCAAGAATCATAATTAACTCTAATCTGAAAAGTAAAAAAAAAAAAGTCCTTACCCAGGCTCATCCAAGTAAAATATCAAAGACCAGACATCCTAAAAGCAGCCATAGAGGAACATACGTTCCTTACAAAGAGTAACAGCTTGACTTTAACTGTCGGAGCCAGAAGAAAGTAGATTAATATCATCAAAACACGGACAGAAAACAATAGGCTACCTAGAACTGTTCCCAGGAGAATCCTCCTCCAAGAACAAGGACAAAATAAAGAATTCTCTGACAAGCTGTGCCTAGAGTTTACCAACAACCTCACTTTAAAAAAAAAACAATAATAATACCTCAGAAAGAAAAAACTGATCCCACGATGAAGTTCTGAGATAGAAGAAGGAACAGTATGTGAAGATAATAGAAATCATGAGTAAATAATTGCAATGTCTAATTCATGAGGAAAAATGATGATGATCGTAGTGAACCATTGTTTAAGATTCACCCTGTGCAAAGCACAGTTATACAAGGAGTTCTGGTGTCACAGTGGTTAAGTACTGTGTTGCTAACCGAAAGGTCAGCAGTTCAAACCCCCTAGCCACACTGCAGGAGAAAGCTGTGGCAGTCTGCTTCCATTAAGATTATATTGGAACCTCTATGAACAGTTCTTTTCTGTCCTGTAGGCTTCCTATGAGTTGGAATCAACTCACTGGCAATGAGTTTGGGTTCATTTGTGTTTTTAAACACAGTTCTGAAAGCTTTATATAAATTTACTCACTGACTCTTCTTGACAACTCCAAGAAGTGGGTATGATTGTTATCCCCATTTTACTGTTGCAGACAAGAAGCACAGAGAGGTTAAGGAACTTGTCTAAAGTCACAAAGAAACTGAAATCATTCCAGGCCGTGTTCTCTAACGACGATGCCATCAAACTGTGAATCAATTTTTAAGAGCAATCTTTTTTTAAAAAAAAATGCATTTTATTAAAATATAATTTATGTACAGGGATATATACAAAGCTAAAGTGACATGACTCACTCACTGCTATTGAGTCAAATCCAACTCATAGCAACGCCTCCTTGGGTTTCCAAGGCAGTATCACTACGGAAGTAGATTGCCCAACCTTCCTTCTGAGGAGTGGCTGGTGGGTTTGAACCTCCAGCCTCTGGTTAGCAGTCAAATGCCTTAGGCATTACTTTTTTTTTTTTTTTTTTGGCAGTGTTCCCTCCCCTCCCCTCCCCCTACCCCTGGTAACCAATAAAAAATGTTTCCTTCCATATATAAACCTTTTCTTGACTTTTTACAATAATGAACTAATACTATATTTGTCCTTCTGTGATTTACTTATTTCACTCAGCATAATATCCTCCACGCTTTTGAGTTGTGGTACTGGCAAAGAATGCTGAAAGTACCTCGGACTGCTAAAAGAACTAACAGATCTGTCCTGGAGGAAGTGCAGACGAGATGCTCCTTGGAAGCGAGAATGACTAGACTTCGTCTCACTTATTTTGGTCATGTTGTCAGAAGGGACCATTCCCTGGAGAAGGATGTCGTGCTTGGTAGGGTGGAGGGTCAACGAAAGAGGGGGAGGCCTTCAATGAGATGGATTGACACGGTGGCTGTGATGATGGGCTCCAGTATAGCAGGGATCGTGGAGCTGGCTTGGGATTGGGCAGTGTTTCGTTCTGCTGTGCATAGGGTCGCTATGAGTCGGAAATGACTCAACGGCACCTAACAACAACAATATCCTCCAAGTTCATCCCTGTTATGCAGTTTTACAGATTCTACATTATTCTTTACTGTTGCATAGTATTCCATTGTGTGTATGTACCATAGTTTTGGTTATCCATTCTTCTGTTGATGGGCACATAGTTTGTTTCCATCTTTTTGCTATTGTAAATAGTGCTGTGATGAACGTGGGTGTGCATATATCTGTTCTTGTCATGATTCTCACTTCTTTAGGATATATACCTAGTAATGGAATAGCTGGATCAAATGCTATTTCTAATTTCAGCTCTTTAAGGAATCACCATACTATTTTCCACAGTGGTTGTATCATTTTACAGTCCCACCAGCTGTGTATGAGAGTCCCAATCTCTCCACATCCTAACCAGCATTTGTTATTTTCTGTCTTGTGAACTTTGCCATTAGTGCTGGGGTGTGATTGTGTCTCATTGCCATTTCAATTTGCATCTCTCTGATGGCCAGTGATCGTGAGCATTTCTTCATGTATTTGCTGGCCTTCTGAATATCCTCTTTGGTTAAGCGTCTATTCATGTCCTCTGGCTATTTCTTTTCTTTCTTTCTTTTTTTTTCTTATTGTGATTTCGGTGAAAGTTTACAGAGCAAATTCACTTTCCATACAGCAGTTCACACACACACATTGTCTGACATTAACTACAATTTACCCCAATGCAACAGCTCCCCTCCCACTTCCTCCTGATAGTTGTCACTTCCATGTGTCCATCCCTCCATGCACTCCTGCCCCCTGAACTGTCTCCCTGTGAATAAACAGCCCTTCTTTCTCCCATGATTGTTCTCTCCAAGGAGTGTATCTACCTCATGTAAATGTTCAACCCATATGTCTGTCTTCTGTTTGGCTGGAAGCCACAGGTGTAGGTTCAATTTCAGACCCGAAGGGCAGCTA